GCAGCAGTAGTCGCTATTGACCTTTTGCACTTGAAGCACTGCATAAGTGATGCGCCAAGCCGGTCGTGAAGAGATCAGGGATACGTCAACTGCGTAGGTAGCAGATGGTAAAGCGTCAGAAAGCCTCGGACAGCAAACAGCAGCAATACGCGCAGAAGCCCTCAGATGGTAACACGTGCGCAAGATAGGTATGAAATCAGAACAGAGAGAGAGAGAGAGAAAGGGAGAGGGAGGGAGGTAAGCCTTAAAATAATATAATTAAACTTATATTGTGCGTAATTCGTCGACGATGAAGATGGTGATAGCGTGTGTGTTCGTAATTTCTTCGTTCTCCATGATTGGATATGACATAGTTAAAGATGACAACTAAAAGAAAAAGAAGAAAAGTCGAGAGAGACAGAGAAAAAGAAAAAAAAAGAAACAGAGAGAACGAGAGAGAGAGAGAGAGAGAGAGAAAGAGAGGCGGGGCCGGAGAGTTAAGAATTCACTTTCGTAATCAAAGAGATAAGAAGCATGTTAAAAATTTTGTATATAAAAATTGTACGTATTTTTTTCGAGGTTTTTAATTAATTATTAAAAATGTATTTATATCGTTGTAAAAAACATGAAATTAATTTAAATAAAGATTTTTCTGTACAAAGTCATTTGAAAGTCATGTTATGTATATACCGTTAAATTTTTTTTAATGTGTTATTATTAAAAAGCAATAGCGTTGCAAATGTTGTTTTGTGTAATGATATAGAAAAAAAGCTGAATGGCGCGCGCGTAGCGCGCGCTTGTAATGTTCTAGTAAGATAAAGAATATTAGACATAATTTTTTTTCGTCAAGTAACTATTTACCTTTACATTTAATCACTTATTTTACTAATCTAAGTAATCTAGTTACAAGTTTTTTTTTTAAGACTTCCACCAATCTTCTAAAGTAGTCTACAATTCAGTTTTTGAAAAAAAGGCTTTATAACCGCAGTCCATTTTCTTGAAATTAAATAACGCTATGTTAACCACAATTGTGCTAAATATAGTGCCTATTTACTTTCAAATTAGAAAAAAATATTGAGCAAGGCATGAGTCAAATTTTTTTTCACTGGAATGTTTTTAAATTTCATACATGGTCTCAAACTTTGGCCGGCAGTATACAATTTATAATAGTAGTGAAGCTGATATATAATAGTGATTAATTAAACATCAATGTATTGTCCATTAAGTAAATTTGTAGCGATTTCTTGAAGTATATTTTTTAAAAAGAATTACAAAAAAAAAGAGAAATAACATACATAAATAAATAAAAACTTAGAACTTTATAATAAATGTCATATTGCTAGCACGTTATTTCTTGTACATTATTTTTTTTTCTTGTAATTCCTTATAATTCTTTTTGTAAACTATAAGTACTTAAGAAATGCACTATAAATTTTTACTTGTGATGTTGTGATTACCGATACATAAAAAAGTGTGCAAATTAGAAACTTGCACATTGCTTCCTCATCATTACAGATCGCTACCATTGCTCCTGTTTGGCGTATCGCCTTATATAGTTGTAACTAACCGTTGAAAACTGTCATTAGTTTAGTTATCGTTTCTTGTAATTTTGCGTAAAACGTCGGCGGATCGCGACCAGTAGAATTATGCGACTCACCTGTCGATGCTGCCATCGCCCATCCGCCGACGGCATCCACTCCCCCCGAAAAGGGAGCAACTACTCGCCCGCAGCGACATGTTCCAGGACCGCGGGGACTTCATTCTCAGTCAAGCCGTTTTACGGCAAACATCTTTGGAAGTCCAGCCGTCTCACGGCGCACACTTCATTCGTCGTCAAGCCGTCCTACGGCACACCGCCATACACTCATCGTCACACCGCCGTAAGGCACTCATCGCTAAGAGATCTCGGGACATCTACGGCACGCGCCGACTCGAATCTCCGGAAAGCCTCTCGATCTCCCTGGAGTGTGCACTTCTCCTGCTTTCTTACTTACCTGCTTGCTGCCTCGCTTTGCCTGCTGCCTTGCTCCCTGCTTGCTGTCTCGCTTTGCTTGCTGCTTTGCTTTACCTGCCTGCTGCCTTGCCTGCTTGCGGCCGCCTGCCTGCTGCTCTGCTTGCTTGTTGCACGTGCCTGCCGAAGAAGAAAGACATCTCTCCGAAAGACGGCCGACCGAACGGTGAGTCGCTTTCGCTCTATTCGTTTATCGTTAATCGTGAGGAGAATTTCTACCCCCCTCTGGTCCTTCAAGCAAACTCGCTAATAACGCAAATCTCGCCTCCGGGGCGAAACAATCCCTGTTCAGTTCCTATTTTATTTCGCTCACAAAGCTCCTCTTATGAGGAAGCTTGTATTTTATTCAATGCATAATTATTAGTATTTATGAGTTTGACTTTCTCATAGAGGAAGCTTTATGAGCGAAATAAAGGAGGCTTTAGGAGCAATGATAGCGATCTGTAATAATGAGAAAGTAATGTGCAAGTTTCTAATTTGCACACTTTTTTAAATTTTAAATTTAATCTTTTTATGAATTGATAGAGGGTCAGCTTAGTAACACAAGTGGACAAGTGCGGTTTTATAATCGACGCAATGTCAAATCGATGTTGACTTTGGGACTTCAGGCTACATAGGCAAAATATCGGTAATCCCTTCACCGATCCTTGCCAAATTCAATAACAACCTACTTTTAATGATACTGTACCCATAAAAAAATCGATATCTCTAAATTTGCGGAAATTAAGGCAATCATGTAGATTTTTTTTAGACAGAAATCGGTATTGGGATTTGACATAGAGGCGGGGCTTAACCAAATATAACGCAGAACGGCTAACACTTTCTCATATAAAGGCTATCACTTTCTTCATTTTTAATGCATTTTTCCAGACTTTGACACGATCAATTTTCTCTAAATTGCCAAATAAATGTTTGACATGTATGAACCACTCATTTTGGGATTAGGAAAGCAATAAAATGGAACATTAAAGTTTTTGGAGCCTTATTTTCACAACTGCGAACTGATTAATTAATTCTGCTCGTAGATTTTCAACGCAGAAAATAAAATTCAACATCAATAATAATAAAAATACAACGCAAAGCCGGTACGACCGCACACCAAGCCTGTATATATGTAGGTACAATGCCACGAGATCTGTGAGCCCTGGGTACTTTCACTTTTGATCACCACCAGATGTCATGGCGACGAATGTCAGATCCCAATAACCCCTTCAACAATCCTCCTCAAATTCAATACCACACACAACCTTCCTTTAATGATACTCTATATAAAAGTACATGTATAACTTGTACTTTTTAAGCAGAAATCGGTGACTCATCGCCATCAATCCTCGCCAAATTCAATACCAAACTTCCTTAAATGTCTTTCTTTAATGATACTTTATATGGAGTCCCCCGTAGCCCTCGGCGGGGGAACAGATGAAGAGTAGAAAGGAAGGAAAAGGGCGTCGGAAAAGAGGAGAGGGAACGTGGAGGAAGAAAGGTAGGCGTGAAGGAAGCCGAAAGGAAGTGGAGTAAATGGAAGCGATGTGGAAAATAAAGCGGAACGGCAGAAATCTGTTCGAGAAAAGGGGGGTTTTTCAGTCGCTCTCGGATGAGAGCTTTTCAGTGTCTTACACCATTCAGTGATTGACACATGGCCTCTTAACCTATCTGTAACACTCTACACTTAACCCAACAATAAAACTTTGCACTCAACCTATCTGGAATATTTATTCATACTATTTATATAATTCTCTTAGTCGACTTAATGAATTGAAATATTATATTCAAAACTTTCCAATTTTTACGTTTAATTAGTTTAATAATGTCTATCTCTTCAAGAAAACCAATCGCTCTCAGATCCCTATCCATTTTAATTCTCAGCTCGTCATAGTGGCGACACTGCAGAATCACGTGGTTCAAATCTTCCCTCTCATGACCACAGTCACATCTCTCACTATCGACGTATCCCTTTCTCTTCAGAGAAGAACCTAAGTTGAAGTGGTTTGCTCTCACTCTATTAATCCAAGTTATAAAATATCTTTCCTTATCCAACTTCGAAAACCATGGTTTAGTGGCCCGTCGTTCATAGAAATTCGAGAAGTAAAAAGCACCCTTGTACGCCGCCTCAGCCATAATCGAACTCTGTGTTGTCTCCCACGTATCTTTCCTTATTATACTACTCATCATATCGCTCAGCGGAACGACGATAGTAGGGTCCGCTTCCTCGGTAGAAGCCTCCTTGGCCAATGCATCCGCCAGCTCATTACCCAGTATACCCTTATGAGAGGGAATCCATACAAGAACGACTCTCCTCTCGTGTTTATAACACAGCTCGAACAATATTCTTCTAGCTTCTATAATATATTGATTCCTATAAACATCCAGTATATTGCTCCGAATACTCATCAGCACCGACTTACAATCCGATAGAATAACCATATCCTTTGCCCTCTTCTCGATCTGACAAAGCAACAGCCGCAACGCGACCATCACCGCGAAGGCCTCCGCAGTGTACGACGAACACATAAACGGGAGACTAATTTTATATGCGATCTCCTGATCACAGATAATCAGGGAGGCACCAGTAGATCTCTTGTTTTCGTCTTGTGATCCATCAGTAAAGACAACTTCTGGCGATTCCAAATTATATTGAGAAGTAACCTCCCGGATCAAAATTTCATCTGAAAATTTTTTGTATTTTCTTTTCAAACCGATGTCAAAATCAACCAAAGGAACGAAGGTATGTGCGTCATAATTCCCCTGGAAAACCTCGTACCTCCGCGATGGGCCCAACCATTCTCTTCTTTTCAAGGAAGACCTCCAAATCTCCGACAGGAGGGAGAATCTATACGTAGGGAGGAGAAATCGTGCATAACTCTCACAATCAAAGGCACGCTGCAGTTTCTGACATAGGCCGTTTTGGTTGTACACCATTGCTTTCCCACACAGCAAAACTTGTTTCAGAAAGCTTTCCGAAAGATAACTTGGAAATTAATATTTAAATGTATAATTGAAATCATTCAGAAATATTTCTGAAACGTTTTATCAAAATAATATATCATTGAAAGCTTCCCAAAAGATAACTTGGAAATTAATATTGAAATGTAACATTGAAATCATTCAGAAGTATTTCTGAAACGTTTCATTGAAATCATTTATGACACTTTTCACTGAAATATTACGAAGCATTTCAGAGAAATATGCAACGACGCCGCTAGGTGGCGCATGATGGTAAGACTAACTCGCAAGTAAATTTCAGTTGGAATCTAATATAAGCAGGCCTCCGGCGAAGCAAAATCATGACTATGATCAAGAATATGTTTTACGAAGGACAGGAAATTGTTCCGGATGACCCTATACAAGGTGATCTGAAACAATTTGATATGAGAAAAAATATCTGAAATATTTCTCATATATTTTTGAAACATTTTAGAGATATTTTTGAAGCATTTCAGAGATATTTCTTAGGCATTTCTGAGGTATTTCTTAAGCATTTCAGAGATATTTCTTAAGCATTTCAGAAATATTTCTGAAGCATTTCAGAATTATTTCAAAAATATTTCTGAGATTTCAGAAACATTTCTGAAATCTCAGCTTGGCGGACATTTTAGCTTTCTGAAACATATTTGAAACATGTCTAAAATGTTGTTTTGAAAGGTTTCATATTTCATTGACAGTTTTTTGAAAGCTTTCTGAAATATTTCGGTGCTATGTGGGTTGTTGATAAAATTACTTCCAAGCATAAAAGCTCGGTCACGAAGAGATCTGACCTTTGCTTCTGCCACGATTACATTATTCGGGGTACTGTTCCTGTACCCCAGAGCAGTGCGTATACCCATAAATTGAGCTCGTTCTAACTTGAGTGTATACGAGGCGTCTCTAGGGAAATACACAAAGATACCATAATCTATAACAGATCTAACGAGGCTCTTGTAGAGCATTAATGCGGTGTTAGTCTCCATACCAGTAGAAACATGGCAAAGATATCTCATAATAGAATTGGCTCTATTTACTTTTCCTCTTATCTCATGTGTTTGCCGATGGAAAGTCAAACCACTATCCAGCTAGATTCCCAGGAATTTAGCCTCACCACTATTATACACCCTGGTTCCCTGTATATTGATAAACAGGTTCCTATCCACGTAACCGCTCCTGGAAAATTCCACCAGTACCGTCTTCTTCGGTTCGAGTGCCAAACCAATCAACATAAGTCTTTCAGCGATCACGTTAACGGCACGCTCCAATAGTTCACGATTCCTTCTTCTACTAATCCCAGAAACATACAGACCAATATCATCGGCAAATTCTACTGCCTCCACTCCCTCCGGCAACTCCGCGCACAAACCCTGCGTGAATAGAGAATACATGATAGGGCTAAGAACCGCGCCCTGCGGGAGCCCTCCGTAAACAAGGCGATCCACGTATTCTTGAGAATTTATAATAAATCTCACCCTTCTACAGTATAGCCATTTACTGATGAATCTAGCAATGTTTACAGGGCATTGAAGCGCCACCAGCTTGTCCATCATGATCCAGTAATTCACACAGTCATACGCCGCAGATACATCCAAAAAGGCTGCCAGGGTATATTCGTTAGAACAAATAGAGGCACGTATATCCGCCGTAATGCGTGCAAGGTTATCGGCACAAGATTTACCCCGTCTAAATCCGCTCTGTGATTTGCTAAATTTATCCTCGTTCTCCGCCCACCACGTTAGTCGTTCATTAATGAGTCTCTCCATCAGTTTGCCTACACAAGATGACAATGAAATAGGTCGCACCTTCTCTCGTCCTGGTTTATCAATAAATATAACCTGATACAGTTGCCAATCCTCCGGGAGGACTCCCGTTCGCCATACAGAGTTGAATAGCTGTAAAAGGCACTCCCTACCTGAATCCGGCAAGAGGCGTAACATCTTGTATTCCACGCCATCCAGCCCCGGTGCAGAGTCTCTCCTGGCCATAGTTATAACCCTATCCAGCTCCGCCCTCAAAAAAGGGGTATCAAACTCACCGCTAGCTCTCATGAAGTTATTATAAGGTTTGTGACCGACAGTAGGGGGGGACAAGCTGTCCGTCGTTCTCCTAATTTCCGATTCTCTGTCAGTGGACTGCCATTTATTCCAAGTAACGTTATTCCTGGCCTTCTTAAATATACGGATAGTCCTCCAGACATATCCAGGGTCCGTAAATCTGTTTATTCCCTGGCAAAATTCCTTGAAATTTTCTTTCTTCTTCTCGTTGAAAGTCTTTTTAGCCAACGCGCGGCACCTTTTGTATTCAACCCAGGAGTGAATGGATTTATGTTTCCTAAAAGCAGAAAGAGCAGATTTCCTATTCCTGATCACCTCATCGCATTTCGCATCCCACCATCTATGGGATCTCTTGTTTTTATTTGGCTCCTTATTTTCCATGGTTATTGTTTTTCTTCCTGAAGCTCTGGCAATACCATTCTTGAGAATCTCTATAAATGCCTTATAGTAAAAATCAATATTAGAATCAAGAGTAACCGTATTCGTTACCGAAAATGTTTCAAAGATCTCCTTAGAGATTAATTCACGATATCGCTCCCAGTCCGTTCTTTTGGTGAAAAGCCGATTAGTTAGTTTTCTATAAATTTGTGTCTGTCGATCAATTCGAAAAATCAATGGAAAATGATCGCTTCCCCAATTATCATCCTCCTGACTGCACTCCATCACGTCAACCAAGCTCACAGAGCCAAACAAGAGATCCAGGTTGGAGTCACGCTGACCACTGTAGCCTAGTCGTGATTTCGTGTCCACGTTCATACACAGTAAATCATTTTCGTTCATAATATCCAACAGAGTGTCCCCACTCTCATTGGTTGAATCACAATTCCAGAGAGTGTTATGCGCGTTGAAATCTCCAAGAATAATAACATCCTCTCCAATACTCCGCAAGGAGTTGAACACTGCCCGAAAATCCTGTCTAGCAATAGCCTTTCTCGGGTGTCTGTAAACAGCTACCAAATTAAAGTTATGTTTCAAATTCTTTGTTTTAATACAGACTATATCATACCCAATCGGAGGAGCCACGATGGGGACAACATCAAAATTCATATGTGAACGAATTGAGATTGAGACTCCACCGCTACCCAAGAGGTTATCACTATTCAGAGTTCTGAATCCAGGGAAATAGACCTGGCTGCGTTCCGAACATTTTGTTTCCGTAAGGACCACTATATCGTAGTCCATGACTCTCTTAGATAACTCCTGCTTACGGCCTCTAAAACCCTGACAATTCCATAACAATAAACTGAATTATTCCGTCAAATGGGAAGACAAAGTTTCCCCCTCGTTGTTCATCTGTGTTTCATATTCCATCTCGACAGTCTCACTGGGTCGCGGAGGACTCCCTTCTAATTGTCCACGTACATACATTCGCTTGAGTGCCTCAATCAAAAGACTTTTCACCTGTGGATCACTTTGTAGCAATAAAAGGATTCCCTCGACAATATCTCTGGCATTCGACATCCCCGCAGAAAACATCATGCCTTTCCTCCCCTCGTAGGAGGAAGCATCCTTGCTGTCACTTTCCACAGTTGCACCACTGCGACAGGCCCCCAGCGCCAAGCCTCTCCTGTTCTGGTTAATTTCCTCTTCTCGAAGGTTAAATTGTTTATAAAAAGAGCGGGAGGGAGCTATCCTCCTATTGTCCTTCTGAGTCTCATCACGGGGATGTTTATCCCTGTAGTCCTTTTTTGATTTAGAAATTTCTACCTCGTTCCGGGAATTAGATTTAGTTTTTGCAGAGTACATCATGCCACCTCTGGGCTCCGGTAGAGTGGGCCACGCCCCCGGGTTCACGTATCTATCTTGGCTGGACAACACTGAAGCGTCACCGCCTTCAACAATTTTTCGTGCTCTGTAAAATGAGAAATTATTTTGCGCTATCACAACATTGATTTTTTTATTTTTGTCAAAAATAGGACATCCTCTAAACGTGGATCTATGAGGACCATCGCAATTACAACACCTCACCGATTTAGAGCATTGACCGTGGGCCTTGTCACCACATATAATACATTTCGTCTCGCTCTTACATGCGTTCTTTGTGTGTCCGTATCTAAAACAGTTATAACACTGTCTAACCTGCGTGATATAAGGTCGTACTCTCAAGCCAACCATATTATTAAATATTTTAAGGTCTCTCAATTTATTATCTCTAAAAATAATAATAATGTTATCTGTTTCTACAAGAGAGGCAGTCCTATTTGTAGCGTCCCACTTACGTCTATACATACGTTCCAAACTAACTATATTTGTCTTATCGCTAATAGCTGCCCACAGATCAGGGATCGCAGAAGGCCAATCCGTTATAACACCTTTACAAAAAATTTGGTGTTTTTCTATATTAGCAGTTAACGTTTTAGTCTTAAGTCTCTCCATTTGTTCTAGCGCAAAATTAGCCGATGATCCCTTTTCAAATTCTGCTTCAGCCGCAAAGTGATTTAACATAACGACATTGATTGGACGGATCTTTAATTCAGATAGGATCATCCATATTTTAATATGATTCCTACCTTTTCTTGTTAATGTTTGCTCTGGGGGGAGCCGGAGGGACAATGATACCTTACCCTCCTGATCGTCGGGGAATCTATTTAGATTGCTCTCTACTTCGCCCATGGGTGCTGTGCTCTCAATCAATTTCGATCCGCATACCCTGCATATCTCTCTTTCCACCGTAGCCCGCGTGTTGCGCATCTCCATATCAAGTGTAATAACAGGCGGCACCTGTGAGTTGAGCATGCCTGGATCACGTGCGTCATCAGCCGGTACTGCGTGGGCACCTGTAATCGCATCTGAATTCGCGGAAGCTTGATTAACTAAAAGATCGCAACCCCTGCTATTGCACATTTCCTTTTTATTTTTCTTTACGTCTTCCAGATTATTTGCATCTCCCGTTTTTCGCCTTTTCGCACCACCACGGTCCCCATTCCGCACCACAGTCCATGCTTCTTTCTCTTTCGGTCTCTCGGTATTAATTGCCTCGATGATTTTGTCAAAGTCCTTCTCCGACAAGCCAGTCTTGACGCGATTATTGATCAATTGATCTGAATCTGTGGCCTAATACCCAATATGCTCTCTCATTTCATCCGAGTCCTCCATCTCCAATCGTCTCTTAAACAGCGGAAAGAAAGAAAAAAAAGATATATCGCTCCCCCTCCGAGGGGGGAGCCCACAAAAATTCTTTATTCCCTCCCAAAAATTCCAGCCCAAAGAACACCGAAAATATGACCTCAAGATTGCATCGACCGATTATATCCCTCTACGCAACTGTATATTCCAAACTAGGTTAAGTGCCGATACGCGCTAACACGTCCGTCTCGATAGGCCGCTCAAACGGAACTCCTTCGAGAAAAGGCCTGAGAGAGAGGTTAAGTTGACGGTGAGCTTGGGCGCTAGAGGAGATGGCATAGGAGGTGAAAGCGGCAGAGAAGACCATGCGTCTTCGCAACGTGTAGCGACGGATGGGCGGCGAGATCGAAAGATCGAAGGAAGGGATCGATGGAGCGAGGTGAACATGTAAGGAACGCGCGTGGTGACGGCTGAGGAGAACTGTGGGGTAAAGCGAGCGGTTGTGGAAAGCAAGTGGTGATGATGGAAAGAATTTAGCCGGCGGGATAGCGTGGAGGCGGCGAGGCATTGGTGGGCTCCGGCTGGGGCTGAGACGGCGCGGGGTGCCGGCCCCTCCAAAAGAGTGGGTTGGCACCACTGCGGGGCGTCGAGGTGCAGCATTGGGGCTCGCGGTGCCTGCGCGCACGGCGACGAATGAGAGATCGACTGTCGCGGCGGCGAATGGGGGATCGCTAGGAGGGTCAATGCGCAATCAATCGAGGATGGTAGGTCGATCGTAGAAGAGGAATGCCCGGCGAGAGCACGTGTACCGAAATTGAGGTGGTAGACCAAGAAGTGGAGAAGGTAAAAACAGCGAGCAAAAAAAAGAGAGAAACAAGGAAGCAGAAGAAGAATAGGGAAGAAATAGGTAGAGGTAAAGGAAGTAGAAAAGTAGAGAAGAAGAAAGTAAGTGACAGGAGGGAGGAAAGACAGGTGGCATACACAGGTCGGAAGAGGACAGGAAAAAAGTGAGATAGAAAAGGTAGAGAAGAGCAGAAGAGAAACGGCGATGAAGATGTCAGAAGAGGAGAAGAGAGAGTAGTAAAGGAGGATATAGTAAGTTACAAGAGAATAACAAAAAAAAGAATTAAGAAAGCAAGAAAAATTGCAGCGTCAAGTGGAAGAGGAGAATGAGAAGAGAAAGCAAAAAAAGGAACAAGCTAGACAAGCTGAGGAAGCAAAAACGTAAAGATGAGAAGAGAAAGAGAAAAGAAAAGGAGAAGAAACAAAAAGAGGAAGAGAAACGTAGTAAACAGAAAAAAGAGCAAAAGAAAAAAAAGAGAGAAAACGTAAAGAGGAAGAAAAAAAGCGTGAAAAAAAGAAAAAGCAGGAGGAGGAGAACCTAAAGAGGAAGCAGAAAGAAGAGAAGAAAAAGCGGGAAAAGTTTAGAAAACTAGAAGAAAAACAGAAGAAAGAGAAAAAAAAGAAATTTGAGGAAGAGCTAAAAAGACGGGAAGAAGAGAGGAAAGAGACTCAGGAAAGAGACAGAGGCGCGACGGCAGGCGGAAATGAAAAAGGATGGAGTAGAGTATGTAATGGTTTGCTATGTTTATTTGCTATGTTTTCTGTATTTAGGGCGCAGGTAGAAGGAGAGGAAAGTGAGAAGCGGTGAAACGGAAGGATAGAGAGAGAAAGGGAGAGAGGGCGGAATAAGGAGGAGTCGAGGAAGGAATTCGGACCCGAGAAAAGGCGGAAAGCGGAGAAGGAGGCAGAAGGAAAAGAAGAATGGAAGCCGAAGAGGGTGGTCGAGGGATAAGAAGGGAAAGGGTGAGAGGGGAAATAGTATGTAAGATCGCACAATGGCCAGGCTCTGTTAGGATGAGATTATAAGTTTGTAAAGGGTTGGGTACTAAAACGCCATGTGTGTTGGATAAAAAGAGGTCAAGGAATAAAAGATATGTAAAGGTTTGGGTACGTTCCTTAAAAACGTTTTGTTAAACCGATAGGTAAACAATAAAGGAATTGATTGATAATGATACTTTATATAAGATTACATATATAACTTATACACTTTTCAGGCAAAAATTGGTAACTTCTTTGCTAAAACTTTATCCATAAAAAAAATTTAGCTTGATATCTCAAAATTTGCGGAAATTAAAGCAATTACGTAATTTTTTTAAACAGGAATCGGTAATCCTTTTATTATTACCAATTTTTCTAATTCTATTATATTCTTTAATCTCTTCTACCCCTATTTCATATTTAATATTATCATATATAATTCTTGATATCTCAAAATTTGCAAAAATTAGAACAATCACATAGATTTTTTTAAACAAAAATCGGTAACCCCTTTATTATTAGCAATTTTTCTAATTTTATTATATCCTATAGTCTCTTCTATCCCTATTTCATATATAATTCTTTAAGATTTGGTTAATCAGTTCTTAAGTTGTAGAATTTTCGATAAATTTGGCACATACATATTGGCATCAAAAACTAGAAAAACAATTTTTTCTTTGGTCTTTTCTACCCCGATTTCGTATATAATACTTTAAAATTTGGTTGATTAGACCTAGCTTTATACGCAATCAAAGGTTCATTACACGAGGTTTACGAAAACAAAGCTTCCTCTATGAGGAAGTAATTGGTTTTCAATTCCTGCAACGGCCAATTTCAATTGTAAATTACTTAGTTAATTGTGTGAAACAATAATGTTAATTGTATGGAGCATATTTAACATAACCATGCTGTAATAAACCATATACAGAGTTACACATGGTGTCATCAACGCTTTTCACTTCCGGTTTAATTCCATATCAAAAACGTCTAAGGTATTGTCCAGACAATCCTGTATAATTAATTAAGAAATACAAAATTATATTTTTATTGATTAATTTAATAATTTTATTTTTGTTGTCTGTTATTCCTTTTTTAAACTTTCTGTTTAATTTTTCAAAAGCATGACAAGCGCCTAAAGATATTAAACTGTAATCGTAACTCTAGATTATGACGTACGAGAGTCTGTATGCGTTTGACCTAGAAATGCCTAAATCAGAAATGGGAGGAATTAATGATGCCAAGTGTGCTTTCCTCTTTTCGCGATCGATTTCGTTGATAGCTTGAACGTTAAGCAACCATTAAGCTTTACATTCTATTCAATCAAAAATATTGTGGACCCGCTTCTTTCCCGAAATAATCCTTTACTCTCATGCATTTACTCAAAGTTCTCCGACCAATGTCGTGCGCGGGTGCATTTGCGTTTGCATGCAGTGCGTGTTTGCGTGTGTACGTCTAATAATAGGCGTGTTTGGTGAACAGATGAACACGAACATTCTTTATTGCAAACTAAGTTTTAAAGCAATAAATCCAAATTTATCGGAAAGCTGCGAACGATGGAATTGAGATCATCTAAAAACGAAAATTCAAAGTAAAATGATCTAATTACATTTAGAGTAATTTCCAACGTATTTATATATTTTTAACAATATGAAAAACGTACAAATTTCCGTCTAGGTCAACTTAGGCTAAAAAAGTTTTCTTTCTTGCGCAAAGTTCGAAAAAAAAGAGGCTAATTGTAAGTTGCCAGAGAGTAAACAGGCTCTCTCGCTAGCGCTTCGGATACAATTTACTGCGTGGCGCACAATAATTAATGTAACAGTAATATTTTATGTAGGTACTTTCTGTTTTAATGTAATTAAAAATAAACGGGCACAGTAACAACTGTGCCGCAAACAACACGTAGAACTGCGCCAACTGTCACTATTTCATGTTAAAATATTCAGCGAAGGAAAGTAGACGTAGGGCTACGTCAACTGTCACTATTATTTAGCGAAAGACAGTTAACGT